TGTCATTGTGAAGAAGAAAATTATTTTGAATTTGTTGATAAAGATCTTGAACATATTATTTCTGGTAATTTAAATATTATAGAAAAGTTAGGGATTTAATTAAAACTTAAGAAATTAACACAAAATTCATACCATAATTCATACCATACCACCATTTACCATAAGTAAATTAATGAAATTCAAAAATACTTTCTCAATATTTTTTTAAAGATATCAAAATAGATTCTCTTTACCTTTATGTTAACAGAATAATGGGCTGTTTATTATTACTTTAAAAACTGTGTTTTCAATATTAAGGAAAATTTGAGCAACAATAACAAGTCAACTAATTTTTCTGCAATTGATCGATCAATTAAGAAACGACAGAAAAAATTTGTAATTACCCCCATACACATAGCTAACAATAATTATGTAATCTTCTGTAAAAATTCTATGTTGAACTTTTAAATAAGGAGTTTAAAACTAATAAAAATTTTAAGCTTATAAATTGAAATAATAATATTATCATTAAAAATTCTTTAGCTTTATATAGGAGGTTAAAAATTAAAATTAATAACATACAATTTCCTGAATTAATTATTGGTCCAATATTTCATAAAATTCTTATAAAACTTAAAATAATTTTTGCTTTAAAATTTGAGAAAAAATTCGTTCAAAATTGCAAAAGATATGAGTAAAGTAGTTCTTTTATATTGCGCATCAGCGGAAAATTTACTTATTTTTTCTTCTTAATTTTGAAGACATGGTAATTAATAGAAAAATCCCTAATGAACATCTTAAAAATTAAAAAAAATTTCTAAGTAATTTTTGTACTTTTTTAAAGAAGCTCAAAATGATATGGAGTTTTCCACAAGGATCATTGTATACTAAATAAGATTTATTAAAACTGACACCGGCATTGATAAAAATTCTCATCATAAAAATATAGTTCCTTTCTCCTGTTTTCGTTCTTTATAAAAACATATTTCAGTGTATGAACATTTATTGTAGGGCATTATAACTCGTTATTTATTTATGCCGTATGATACAAAATAATAATTGGAGAATGGTAGAAAACTGCTCATCACCTTGAGTTTTTTTTTAAAGACTTACACTACTTAGAAAATTGCCTGAAACTTTTGAAACTTTTAAGATATTCAAAACGGACTTTCTTTATTTGTTGCCAAATATGATTCTCTTCAAAATTAAGGAGAAAAAAAAATTTCACTTCTTTCCCAACACTTTTAATGACACATTTTCACACAGCTTATGAACATATATTGTAGGGCGTTATGATTTGTTATTTATTTTTGTCGTAAGATACGAAATAATATTTGTAGAAAACTGCTTATCACTTTGAGTTTTTTTTTTTTTTAAAGTACTAACACTACTTATAAAATTGTCTAAAACTTTTGAAATTTTTAAGATATTCAAATCGGACTTTCTTTATTTGTTGCCAAATATGATTCTCTTCAAAATTAAGAAGGAAAAAAAAATTCACTTCACTACAAAATCCACTTAAGGAAAAAGGTATATTATTTACACTTATTAAATAGTCTACACTAATTAAATAGCATATTTAAAGCGAGACTCTCAAAACATTAAGACTGAGTCTCTGTATGTGAAATCACAAGTATTCAACGTTTTCCGGTTTTTATTTTTATTTATTGATTAATTTTGTACCCTTTATGTAGCATTTTTAAATTGATGAACTAATGGGATGGAATACGATTTCCTCGGTTTATATAATGGCGTTTACTCAAAACATTTTTCCTATTATTATAATTTTCATGATATTAATAGTAACTTCTTTTAATAATAATGACTTCTTACAATAGAATTTAAACAGCAAACCCTTGCAATTTCCTTTAAAACCGTGATTGGTCTCAGGCAAAAAAGAGTAAAAAGTGCATAAGATGCAATACTTAATTTTTTAGATAGCAATGTCAGAAGAGCAAAAAGGTAGAATTCTTTTAGTATATACCTATAAAAACAATACGCAGAAAACTCAATCGTAATAACTTTTGATTTAATGATCAAATTTTCATGTACTGGGATTCAAACTTAATGGTTTAGTTGGGTAATTTAAAAATGTTAAATTATTTATGCAAACAATATTATAAGCTACGAAATCAGCAATTAAGTTACGAAAACGGCAGGTACAAAATCGTACACTTTCCTTGAATGAACATACCTTTCCTTNTTTAAAAGTACTAACACTACTTATAAAATTGCCTAAAACTTTTGAAATTTTCAAGATATTCAAATCGGACTTTCTTTATTTGTTGCCAAATATGATTCTCTTCAAAATTAAGAAGGAAAAAAAAAATTTTCACTTCATTCCCTGCGTCTTTGCAGTAAAGAAGAATTACTTTAATTACTCAAATCTTGTGCAATTTGAAACGAATTTTTATTAAAATTTTACTGATTTTAATTTGAAGCAATGGTTTTCAAACTAATTTTAAATTGCCTTAAAAATTTTGTTTAATTTTATTGAATAATTTTAAAATTAGCAGGAACAAAAAAAGTGAGACAAAGAATTACTTTTTTTTAATAAAAATGCCCATATCTCCAAAAAATATTTAAGCCAGACTTACGGAATTATTGCGTACAATAACCAAAATAATTGCTACAAACAACAAATTTATTGCTACATTATTTTATAAACCTCTAAAAGCTTTACACTTTATTGATAAGAACGAGAAATTGCATAATCTAAAACTTTTTTAAACTATACAACTAATTATTTTAATGTGATAAGAAATAAAAACTTAAAAGTGGGGATCGATTCGAACATTCAAGCCATGAGGGAATCTTTATGAAAAGCACATCACATCGTAATGGCCAACTTTAACTAATATAAGCTACACGCATTGACTCAATACTGAGTGCAGATGTGTTGCAATAGTAATTACATGCATTGTAATCTATGTATTTCAGTAATAATTCATACATGCATAGTAATAACAATTTAATATTTGTAGTTAATTTGTGTTCGTTCGCTTTTTTTTTTGTATTATTATATTTATGTAAATGCCCGGTTCCTGATGCATTTTTTTACTATGTACTGAAGGATGCATGTATTTAAAATTTGCTTTGTATCTTATTCTGTGTTTATTTATTTTTGCAGAAATTCCGTATTAGAGATTACAGGAGATAGTTAGAGCTGAATCATGACAGCTAATAAAGAAAGTAAGTGTAAATGTTATATATCTCTTTCACGGTGACAGTTAAATGAAGATAAAACTTAAGAATAAAATTTAATTGTCATAGTTTTGCTTATGAGATATTTGAATTTGATAGATTTGAAATTTCAAAATATCTTTTTTTTTATTATTGTTAATATTTTCGGAAATTTTATTTCTCTCAATGTTTAAAAATCGTGAACGACACTGCCACGGCTGTTGCAATTTCGCTGCTGTAATTTTTTTTCTTTTTTTTTTTGCCATTGCTGCTGCGAAAAAATACTGCGTGGTGCTCCCACTCTAAATCTCACATAAGTGCTTGAAATTCAACATTCTTAAAGGATCGTTTTTATTTAAGAACTTGAAGGATATTTTTTTTTCTCAAAATTTCAATTTGTTTAAAAATTATTGCGTTTTGTTTTGTTTTGCTCTTCTGGCTTTAAATAATGATCTTAACGCTTTTTATTATTTAAATAATGAATTTTGCTTTAATTATATAAAGGNGTGTTGCAATAGTAATTACATGCATTGTAATCTATGTATTTCAGTAATAATTCATACATGCATAGTAATAACAATTTAATATTTGTAGTTAATTTGTGTTCGTTCTCTTTTTCTTGTATTAATATATTTATGTAAATGCCCAATTCTTAATGCATTTTTTTACTATGTACTGATGGATGCATATATTTAAAATTTGCTTTGTATCTTATTCTGTGTTTATTTATTTTTGCAGAAATTCCGTCCTAGAAATTGCAGGAGATAGTTGGAGCTGAATCATGACAACAAATAAAGAAGGTAAGTGCAAATGTTATCTTTCTCTTTCACGGTGACAGTTAAATGAAGTTTTGTCCTTTTGGCTTTAAATAATGATCTTGACGCTTTTTATTATTTATATAATGAACTTTGCTTTAATTATATAAAGGCTCCGTTGATTAGGTGGGTAAAAATTGAGAACTGTTTGAACTTCAGTGATTTTTTTTTCCTCAAGAATTTTATATAATTATACATTTGTGCAAAATATTCTGAAGAGGAAAAAATTTATACTTAGATAATTATCTTCAAAAATAATTTTTTTTAATTATTTGATATTTTTTGTTATTTAAGTTATTCAATGCAATTTTAAATGAGTAAATCCAAAAATTGAAGGGAATCAGTCGAATAGTTGTTGAAAAATGAAAAGTTGAATTCTTAGAGTTACGCAGAAATAAAATAAAATTAAGATACCTACTTTTGAACTACATTACTTCAACTAAAGGGACCGTATTTTCCAGATTGAGGCTACCTTCTACTATTTTGAAGGTCAATATTCAAAATCCACTTAAGGAAAAAGGTATATTTTTTCTACATTTTTTTGAAATAGGGTGTTCAAAAACACTATTTTCCTTTTGTGATTTATTGTCGGTCCCTTAAACCTCTAAAAGCATTAAACTTCATTGATAAGTATGAGAAATTGCATAATCTAAACACTTTGGAGGTCGTAAAAAGATTTTTTAAATAGTTCTTGGGGGATATTAAAAAATTTATTAATATAGAAGTGTTTCCATTATTTTGTCTACCCCCTGTGTGTATATATGTATATGGTCAACTCCTTGAATTTAACTCCGGCTTATATAAGCTGCACACATAGACTCAATATTGAGTCCAGGTGTGTTTTAAGAGCAATTACATGCATTGTAATCTATGTATTTCAGTAATAATTCATAGATGCATAGTAATAATAATTTAATATTTGTAGTTAATTTGTGTTCGTTCTCTTTTTCTTGTATTAATAATTTTATGTAAATTCCCGATTCTTACTGTATTTTTTTTACTATGTACATATGAATGCAATGCATTTAAAATTTGCTTTGTATCTTATTCTCTGTTTATTTATTTATTTTTTTGCAGAAATTCTGTCCTTGAAATTAAAGGAGATAGAAGTTAGAGCTGAATCATGGCGGAGTATAAAGAAAGTAAGTGTAAGTGTTATAATTCTCTTTCACTGTGATAGTTAAATGAATAAAACTTAAGAATAAAATTTAATTGTCATAGTTTTGCTTATGGGATGTTTGAATTCGAAGGATTTGAAATTTCAAAGTATCTTTTCTTATTTTTATTATTTTAGGAAATATTAGTTCTCTCAATGTTTAAAAATCGTGAACGACGCTGCCACCGCTGTTGCAATTTCGCGGCTGTAAATTTTTTGTTTTTGCTACTGCTGCTGCGCAAAAATACTGCGTGGGCCGGTCACTTTAAATCTCTCAGAAGTGCTTGAAATTCAACATTCTAAAATGACCATTTTCATTTATGAACTTGCAGGAGATTTTTTTGCTCAAAATTTCAATTTGTTTAAAAATTATTGCGTTTTATTTTGTTTTGTCCTCTTCACTTTAAATAATGATCTTGACGCTTGTTTTTTTTTTTAAATAATGAATTTTGCTTTAATTATATAAAGGCTTCGTTGATTAGGTGGGGAAAAATTGAGATCTGTTTGAACTTCAGCGATTTTTTTTCCTCAAATATTTTATATAATAATAAAATTACGCAAAGTGCTATTCTGAAGAGGAAAATATTTATACTTGTTTGTTTTTAGAATTTTTTAACTTTTCAATACACTAAAAAGTTAACTCCTCTTTTATCTTTTGATCTAATGATTAGTTTTCATGTACTAAATCCTTTATCTTAATTGTTCAAGGATATAATCTCAAAAAGCTAATTAATATATGCAGATGATATTTTAAACTATGACATCAGACGCAATAACTAATTTTTTAAGGAATATATTTTTGTCCCCGACATTTTTGGAATCTTGACTTCTGAAGACGTAAATTCGATTTCTCAGGTTGGACTTCATTCATTCTTCTCAATTATACAGAAAGATGGACTCTCCCTCATACAGTCTAGAGGCTATTAATTATCAAAAAAATGCTAAAAACCCTGTCACTGCCATTTGTTAGAGAATTGATGTTTTTAGCCGAAATTTTCCAGCAAGAAAAATGTTTTAAAATATGGCGTAAAATTTTCTGAGTGGTGGGTATTGTTTAACAGGTTGCTTATGATCAATGACATACTTATTCTTTTCCTTAAGTGCAATTCCCAAGAAAACTTTGGGGTGGGGGCTATCCTCAGTAGGGTTGTGTATACCAAAAAGGGTAGTTTCAGTCTGGGGCAGAATTGAGGGCTAGCATCATTGAACTCGGCATAATATTGATGCATTGTATCCACGGGTATTGCTAAATACCCAGACCCAGATGGAAGAATTTTTTTTCTTTGCTTCCTATCCAGGTAGAGTAAGGACTGAATGCTCCTTGTAAATATGTAAAAGAATATCCACTTTCTTAATAAACATATTTGTTTCCCATTGGTATCCTTTACGTTAAGCTATATCACGAGAATAATCTGGCTTTAGTTAAGTGGGACATATTGTACTAGTTTCAACGCTGCTAACATAGTTTTCAATTTCTCTTTTAAGCATAATTTAATTTCCTTATCTACAAAGTTTTTCTATTTGTTAGATTTTTTTTCTATTTTACCGAATTATTCTGTTTGTTCGATAGTTGTTCTGAATAGCCATGATTTATTAATGAAATGTTCATTTTTGGATCTTTTAGATCGATGCGTAAGTACATCAACACTCAAGGAGTTTCGAGACTTGAATCTGCCCAAGGGGAAGATATATGCTAATCTCGGTAAATATCTAATGGACTCGAAGTATTGCGACAAACTCACCCACGAGCTGACTAAGGGAGCCAAGATTTCCGAACATGGAACAGCTGTTAGGAAATGCTACAGGTGCCGAAAAAGATTTGAGGTCACACCAGAGGGAAAATACACGGTGAACGAAAAATGTTACTACCATCCAGATAAAGTAATAAAATTTTCTGGCCATCCATCTATCTTCAAGTGCTGTAAAAGACACGCTTCTCTTATTGGATGCAAAGTGTATCCGTTACACATTTGTGGAGATCCACTGCTCAAACCGGAGATCAAAAGAACTGGTGAAAAGCGCCTTGCACACCAGCTTCGTGGAGTCTACGGATTAGATTGCGAAATGGTTTACACTGTAAAAGGATTGGAAGTTGCAAAAGTCGGTTTAGTTAATGAAGAAGGCTTCACAATTTACGAGTCCTTCGTACAACCTGAAAATGAAATCCTTGATTATTGCACCAAATTTAGTGGCATAAAGGCCGAAGATTTACTTGGAGTAACAACAACTCTTAGTGATGTACAAAGTTTCCTAGGTAACCTGCTTCACATCGAATGCATATTAATCGGACATGGACTTGAAGGAGACCTCCGATGTCTAAGACTGACTCACACTAATATAGTGGACACATCTGTTGTTTTCGCAAGGAGTGATGGCTCTAAGCCAAAGCTTAGAGACCTACCTTACGAAAAACTAAAGCTTGTGGTGCAAAATGACATTGGTGGGCATTATTGCATCGAAGATGCAAGAACTTCCATGGCTTTGATGTTGAATAAAATTAAGGAAGACAAAGTTACCCAAGCTGTATCACAAAAAAATACTGTAACTAATGAATGTCGAAAGTTCAATATCACGACTCAATGTATAGATATGGCATTTCTATCAGCCCAGGGCATTAGCCAGGAAGAGTTACACACCAGAAAATGGCCTTTTTTTGAAACATCACATCAGCCTGAATATCACATAGTTGAACAGAAAGGTAGTTTTAAAAAGGTGTGTTATATTTGCACAAATCTACAATTTGGACATGACTCTTACTGCTACGCTTAAAATTTAAGTTTTTAATTACGAACGGTATACAGTCATGTTCGTGTGAGTCGAAATAAGGATAAGTAAGACTTGGATGTTACATGTTGGCTTATCAATTCACTGTATGTAGATTTGTATGAATGGATCACCCATATTAATTTTTTGTTTTAAAATTTAGTTCATTAAATTAGTTATTAAAATTCATTTAAATTAGTTCTTTTAAAATTTTTTCTTATTAGTTAAAATTAATTTAAATTAGTTATTAAAAATTTAGGAAAGTGATTCAGTTTTTAATCTGTATATTTCGAATGATTTCTTGAGTTATGAAAGAGAATTGTAATTGTAATGTTCGGAAGTTATATGCTGTTTTAAGTGAATTGCTGTATTTTCTTCGATTGATATCATTTTTTAATATTTGCTTATTTCTGTACTTTTTAATTTTTAATGTTTTGTGACTGTTACTGTGACCTGAAAAATCTTTCCTTTTTGGTAAAATTTTTTTCTGTTTTAAGCAAATTGCTGTATTTTTTCTATTTACATCATTTGTAAATATTTGTAAATAAAATGCTTTTTTTTATTTTAAATATTTTGTGATTATAACTGTAAACTGCAAAATCTTAACTTTTTGGTTCAATTTTTTCTGTATTAAACAAATTGCTGTATTTTTTCTAAAGACATCATTTGTAAATATATTCATATTAAATACATTTTTTAATTTTTAATATTTGTCATTATTACTATAAACTGCGATATCTTTACTTTTTCGTATAATTTTGAATTGTCCTTTTTTTAATCTTTTGTTGTAACTGTAGTGTAGATTGTGAGGAGGAACTTTTTTGACACTATGACAAGTTCCAGAACGAAACCGTGATTTGAACATGTTTTTTGTCTTCTGTTTGGTTTAGAAACATGACAATGGGCTAAAAATTTTAAAAATCTGACAAAATTTTAAAAGTTCACGACACTTGCAATTTTTTTAAAAAACATCTTTTCTTTTTAAACAAAAACAACAGGTTGAATTGCAACTCGAATGCACATCCAAATGATTCATTGCGAGGAAATTACGCTTACAGGAAAAAGAAGATTTTTAGTTTAAGTTATGGAGTGAAAAATAAGATATTTTTAAAGGGATAAAAAATGTTCACGAAAATCTTTCAGGTATAATTAATTTAATTCAAAGTAAGATTGATTAATATTTGACTATCATTGTCTAATCAATGATATTCATGTCAAAGTATGGAATTGAGAAATTCTAAATCAAAATATTTTCAAAAGAATCAAAGCTTTCTCTTTGTATTAAAAGTTAATACAACCATCACCGCTGTTTCAGAAAATTTAAGCAGATAGTTTCTTTTTAATGTCTTATAACTCAAAAACTATTGCATGAAACGATAATGGAATTGTACACATTTCTAGATAAATGTTTAAAGAAAATTCTAATAACAAAATGTTATTGATGAAGTCATTAATTCTAGAGTTCCTTGATGCTGAAGAATAGACTGTTACGGAAGTTAAAGAATGTTCTATTAAGCCGCATTATTCAGTTCAGCAAGAACTATTTACAGAATTGTGTTTGATTTGCAGCCACGTACCTTATCTTTCGAAATACTTTATACTACTGGATCTTGTTTGAATTTCAAATTATTTTCGGAGTAATTTAACATTTATGTAGCTGTAAAATAGTGATCATTCTTCGGATTCTTCAATATAAAGAAAAAACTATTCGTTGTAAAAATATAATTTTTTAAAAGGTCAAATCGAAACAGTTCAAAAAATAACAGTTCTCACCAATGCAGACCTGATTTCCTAGAGGCATGGTTTCCTAGAAATCATATGGTTTTATTCTTTTGTTAATAATAATTAAATTATTACTAACTATAAATAAATATTTGGGATAGAAGGAACAATATATCTTTCGAAGGTTATCTGTCATCATCCTGCAGGATTGACACTAGTTTCTCCCATTTGTTTCTCTTGTTTCTGATTACATATGATCTAATTGAGGTTAGCGTAAGAGTCAAGGTGTTTAACTAAACAGAATAACTTTTATCTTGTACAGAAGAGAAAATTTTAATGAAATTCACTGTCTCACTTGTAAATTCTTTATCTTGATTATCATTTTAACTTTTGAAGAGATTAATGGTAGACAGGGTGTGATGAACTGGTTGATCAAAAATGGCAAGCAAAAATAATTTAATTCATAAGCTCATTCAAGGTGATTAAAGTTTAAAATTGGAACACCTTGCGATATTTTAAATTTCTCATTTTAACTTTTCGTATTATTACAATTTTATTTGTAATTTATTTATAGTTGTCTCAATATTCTATAATGTTCTCAGAGGATAGAAAGTTCGTCTTCCAATGAGGTGAACCGGGTTCGAATCCCACCAATGGCTGGTCGATACGAATTCGCATCCGGCTAGCACCGACCACAGTGCTGATGTGAAATATCCTTAGTGGTAGACGGATCTCGAGTTAGAGTCCCTTTGCCGTCCGACTAAACTTGAAAAATTTTCGTGGTCTTCCTCTCCATGTAACGCAAATGCGGGTTAATTCCATCAAAAAGTCTTCCGCGAAGGCAAAATTTCTCCCAATTCAGGAGTTCCCCTTACTTCTGGATTGGGTTTAAAATTACAAGGCTACGGAGTTGAACATTAAAAGTCGTAAACCCAAAAAATGGATCGGCTGTTCAACAACGGTTGTAAAAAATAAAATAAAAAAAAATACCTATAAGTCTAACCTGCGGTAGCTCAGGGGATTGAACGTTCACCTCCCAATGAGAGACCCAAGTTTGAATCCCAGCGGTGGCTGGTTGATACGATTTTTGTTCCCGTCTAGCACCGACTCCAATTTTGACGAAATATCCTCGGTGATAAAGGTTGGGAATCCCCTTGCCGTTGGGCTAACCTTTACTTTAATTGGTATCAAATTATATTTTAGAAATTTTAAAATGCTTGGCAGTCACAGTTTTGAAAATGCACCTAATAGGTTTAAAGAAGGAAAGAAAAGAAGAAAAAAAAAACGATAGACAAGGCCCTCATAAAAGAAGTTGTGAAATGACTAAGTGCGCCTTTACCATTTCGAATTTAATACTTCATATTCGAGCCGGCCAGGTGGCATGTAAACTCTCTTTACACACATAGTATCCCCAAGAGATTTCGAGCGCGCTGATTGACTTTCTCGGCATTGTATTCTGTTACGTCTTTTTGTAGCTCCACCCCAATGACATGTCTCCGTAGTGTGTTCCCAAAAAGTAAATCAATCATAAATCAGTTCCAATATATTTCTCGTACTAGTTTTATGATAAATGTTAAAGTTTTGTTCAAAAAATAAAACAGCTCCATTAATTGTATTTCAATAATAACACATTTATTTAAATATAATTTGCTTTAAATTTTATTCTAATATTTTTTATTGTTAAAGTTATAAATTTTAGGTAAATGCAAGGTAAACAATCATGTTTTGATAAAACATCAAATTAGTATAATAATAATTATTAAACATAAATTAAAGTTTTATTAGCTAGCTTTTATGTAATATATATATATATATATAAGAATTGATTCATATATTCAAATGGAATAGCATTGTGAATTTGGACTTAAAAATTAAAATCTCTCTTACTTAAATTTATTAAGTATGATTGCAGAACAACTCAGTTAAGTTTGAATTTATTATATGAAATTTTAAAAAGTATATAAATAAATTTTTAAAATTATGTTTGATTATTTGAAAAAGATTTTATCATATCTTAGAGGAAAATATTCTGAAATGATAAAAAAATATAATTATAATTCAGCAAAAAATTTTAGAATTTTTTAAAAAAAACTTCTTTTACATTTCTCCTGCGGCACTTTCATAAACGCAATGTGGTAACAAACAAAAAATTTCCTGCTATTAAATAATAAAAAAAATATTTACAATCCAATAGAAATGTACTAGAATTAAAAAAGAGAATTTTTTGTAAATTTATTCTTTAATTACTCAAGGTATTAATTTAATGGACAATTCATGATCATTAGCTTTTATTTTGATGGAAATTATGCAATCAAAAATTAATAAAATAAGCATCTTAAAAGACAATTGCTTGATTTCTTAGATGTCAATTAATAGTTTTTCGGTATTATAAAACATTTAACAAATAAAAAAAAACATTAAAAATAAGTTATAAATAGGTAGGCATAATGCAGATCTCCCAGTTTTAATTTATAATAATAGATGGCGCCACTAATAAATCTTAAATTAAAAATTTTATAATTTAATTTTAGTAATCCGCGAGAAATAAATAAAATATTAATTTAATTCTATGAACATCAATTTAATTAAATAAATATCAAGTGAAAACTATTCAGNATATTGTTAATTTTTGACTATCAGGAATTGGTCTCGAGCAATAGAATTAAGCCAAAGAATACTGAACATTGTTAATTTTTGACTATCAGGAATTGGTCTCGAGCAATAGAATTAAGCCAAAGAATACTGAACATTGTTAATTTTTGACTATCAGGAATTGGTCTCGAAGAATAGAATTAAGCCAAAGATTACTGAACATTGTTAATTTTTGACTATCAGGAATTGGTCTCGAGCACTAGAATTAAGCCAAAGAATACTGAACATTGTTAATTTTTTACTATCAGGAATTGGTCTCGAGCAAAAGAATTAAGCCAAAGAATACTGAACATTGTCAATCTTCATTTTTGAGAGGACGAATTTCTAAAACATGCTTTGCTTAATCTAATAACTTAAAGGCATCAAAATGAGCAAGAAATAACAATAAATAAAAAAAAATAGTATTTTTTAAAATTAAATTAATTGAGTCCTCATATTTCTTTCAAATTTGTGTATGATTGCGCAATATTGATCATTACCGATTTATTGAAAATTTAGTTCTATTCCATTCCATAAGAAGAACGAGTATTCAACTTGTAACAGAAAAAGTTGCATAAGCACAAAATAATATTTCAATGCGACTTAGCTTAAATTCACTACCAAGGTCTCCAATTCTGTCAGCTAATCTAAACCAGAAATAAACAAAAAAATATATTCTGAAGCTATTTAGGAGTTTTTCTTCTTTTTTTTAGTAATTATTGATTTGTAACAAAATAAATTCCTCTTTAATGTATGGAAGCTTATGTTTCAGGTTTTTGATTTTCTCCCCGCGATTTAGCGTTCGATGCAAAGCAAGTGATTATCTTGGGTTGTTGACTACTTGTAACTAAGTCACTTAGCCTGTTCTTCCATCAAAAGAATACCCAAATAATGCTACTTCCCTGGTTCTTCCATTGAGTATCTTCAGAGAAATATATTTAGCAATGTAAATGAATGGTAGTTTAAGTTTAAATTAGAATAAAATTAGAACTTCTCCCAAGAAATCTCAATTTTTTTAGAAATATCACTTAACCGGTTCTTCCACTAAACTCTTCATTTATCACTGAGTTTTCGCAAAATTTTATACAAAATCGTAGTTTTTATATAGATATAACGAAATTCTCTGCAATTTTCTTTTAAAAAAAATAAATAAATAAAAACTATTTTATGAACACTATGCATACACTCTATAACAAAAAAATCGACGCACCAAGAAGCAATCATCCGATTGCTTTGAAATTTCGTATGCATTAATTTTTTGAACAAATATGGCTGGAATAATGCCGACTGGGGACATATAGTCTTTAGCGACGAATCCCGCTTCCAACTGTGTCCTGACGATCATCGAAGACGTGTTTGGAGGCGCACAGGGCAGAAGGGGGATCCTGCCTTCACTATTGCACGCCAAACCGACCCTCAACAAGGCATTATGGTCTAGGGTGCCATTTCCTTTGACAGTCGGACGCGACTTTACACATTGTCGACTCCCGGGCACTTCTTTGGCACCGTATTTTGAAATTCGCCAAGTCGGGTTTCAAATTTTCTCGCGAAAATTTTCGAATACTAATTCGCGCATGTTTCACTAGCAACATACGATTTAAAAAACGCATGAGTGAACATGAGGTGTGAATAAATTTAACTGTTTTAAAAGTTTTTGTGTATTATCAGTCTCTTTTTATTTGGACTTCCTGAAACACCTATTTATTTCTTAATTTTTTGTTTCCTTTTTAGGATAAAGCTTTGCTGTGGGTGTAGGATATGAGAAGGATACAGCATTTTATTTATTTTTATAAATTTATTTCAAATTTATGGTGTCTTTACCAAGTAAGAGGACGCAATATTCAATAATGCAGCAGGGTCTTGCTATATTGTTTAGTTTTTAAAACCTTTAATAGTAACTAGACAATTTATGAGTTTTAAGTACTTTCCTTTTATATGTGTGTAATGATGAGGAGATTGTTGCTGTCAGCTTTAAATATGAATTTACTCTCTTTTACTTTTCTGACACTGATATCTATGATTAAATTTAATGTAATGATTCCCATTTGCGGTATTTGTGCCAATAATATTCGAGTCCAAACAATCGTACTTAGATTTGACACTTTTCTGTAAATGTTATGTCCCAAGCGAAAAATTCCTTTATACGAATCAGCCAATTCTACAGCTTTGGTCGCCAAGACTTAAAAATTTGTTGCAGTTACAGTATATTTATGAGGTGAACACAATTTTGATTAAAGAAAACTTTTTATGATTTGTAAAATAAAAATATAATGTAAACAGTAAGCATCAACTTTGACATTCTCATATCATAACTGTATAACAATTTAAAGACAAACTGTTTATTTATTTCTGATTCATTAAGGACAAGATATTGAGTCAAATAAGAGAATCTTAACAATTTTTAAATTTAACAATTTACTTTAAACCAGCGGGTGACCGAGCTCCGCTCGGAGAAAACAGGTATCGAAGCTAACTCGAAGATTTAAATTTTCAATTGTGATTTATCAAAACAATACATGCCATAAGAAAATTTGTGAAACCATTGGTGAAAAGATAACCGGTTAAAGTGCACCATTGTAAACTATCTAAACAAAGTTTGGAAAGGGAACTATTCTATACAAAGGTAAAGTTTGAAAAGTCATAGGAAATAAAATGTAATTGATAACAAAAAATTATACAATTAAAGAAATGGTACAAAGTGAGCAGTGCAAAGATTGAAGTGTGTTGAAGTTCAATATTTTTGACAAATTTATTTGGAAAAACAAAACATATATACATACATAAGAAACATATTATAAACCTATAACAGCATAAACATAATAAACATTAATCATCGATTGCGAAGTCTTCCATGTTGTCCAGGTAGTTTCTTGTCGGAGAGGCAGGTGCGGCTGGTGAGTTTCTCTTGTTCAGGACTTCCTTCCATACGACGTTTCGGGTGTGGGTTGGATTCTCAGGAGGCAGCAGGACCTTCAACGCACTTTGACGCTTGACTCTTGAAAACGCGACGTAGAGCATTCCGTGCACGAAGACCGTCGTGAGGAGAAGCACGCCGACGAATTCGAATGTTTGGCCTTGTGACTTGTGTATCGTAATGGCGAATGCTGGAGTAACTGGGAATTGGTGCCGTTGCATAGTTGCGCCAAGCTGTGATTTGCTGGAGTCGAGCGTGATCCTTGGAAGGTGTACTTGTCGGCCTGCGTGTTCACCGGTGATGATCTTAGCCTTGATGATGTTGTTGCAAAGTTCGGTGACAATCAATCGTGTTCCGTTGCACATTCCTTCAGAGACGTCCAAGTTTCGGAGAAGCATGATGATGGCGTTCTTCTTGAGCTTCAGATTGTGTGGAGGCAAGTCGGCGATGTTGATCGAGTTCAGGAATTCAGGCGCGAATTGAATTCCCCCTTCATGTTGATCCTTTACCGAGTCGAAACTTGTGTATGTCTTCTCTTCGCCTGGAAGCATAGCGATAATCTGCTCGTTGATCTTGTCCTTATCGTCGTTCAATGGTGCAAGAATAGCGCGATTCTTCATTGCTTCGTAGTTCCCACTTCTGAGGCATGGTCCGAAGATTTCATCGATGAGGTTACCACCAGAGCGAATTTCTTCTGGGACTTCTNTAAAAATAAATACATTCCTCTTGATCATGGAATTTGTTTCTTTTATTTCATATCGTCCTATAATACTTTGAAAATCGATATCCAATACTTCGCAGACATAAAGTGGAATAAATTTCTTTAAAATATTTTTCCCTATGTTTTCCAAATCATTTAAATATTTTTCTCCGTCAAAATATATGCATTTTCTAAATTTGGATTAGAAGCAGCTTCGAAGAAAGCTTTTTGCATCGCCTCATTTACAAATACTGCTTGTGCTATGTGCAAGCAAAATTTTTAAATGGGACAAATGAAAAAAAAGTTTCCATTATTTCATTCAGTAACAACAAATGTATCTTGGAAATAATATAAGCCACAAGAATCAGGAAGAAAAAAATTATGAATAGCCAGAATTTATTCAATACCATATTGTTGGAAACACATTGAAAAACCCTTTAATGTTACATTTTTGACTCCAACATAGTGAAATAACATTAGAAAAAAATAAAGCACTCCCTGTAAGCCATCTCCTTATCAGAAAGAATTTACTTTTCACTAGTTAGAGTTTCAACAAAAGAGAAAAATATTGATTATAAATGAATACGTACCTTACATTACTTTCTAAGAATTGTAGTAACTTCTCCCGCTACTGTCTATTACTTGCCACCTGCAAATTCAAAAGAATTTTAACTTAGATGTAGTCATCCCCCTTTTTTTTATTTCAACTTCATTGTTATTCTAGAACAAGTGTCATAATACCATTTGAATGAACTGCACACAACATAACTGTGTGACTCAAATAAAATCTGAAAACTCATAAAATGCCAGTTGATTTTCAACTAATATTTTTAACTTTAACATTTCAAGATTTTTAATTTAATGCCGAACTGATTGTTATATTATCCTTTTAAAAGCGCATATCTTATAAAAATTAAATTTTTGGTTAATTTTATTACAAACGGGAGAAAAAGTAACAAATTATACTACAGTTTCAAAATCCATAAAAAAATAATAATAAATACTGATATAGAATGGCTGAATATTTAGGACTATATATCGTTTCTAATTTGAAATGGAAAACAAATATTAACAATTTAGTTAACAAATTGCGTTTTGTTTTCGTTAAATTTTATCACCTTAAGAATAAAATTTATTTTAATTTTGTAAAAGCACTCTATTACTCCTGGATTTAATATTTAATTAATTGTGGTGCAATAATATATGGCGGTGAATATAAAACTAATTTTCTTCCTTTAATCTCAGTTCAGAATAAATTCTTCGAGATTATTAATTCTCTAAATATAAATAATTCAAGTATAACTACTGCCAATATATATACAAGAATTAATCTATTACCATTTCGCCATAATGTATTTTTTCGTATTTTACTTTTTTTACACAACAATAAATTAATATGCAAATTAAAAACTAATGTGTCTGAAAGGAGACCAACTGAAATATATGAGATTCCCCACTTTACAAAAGAAATTTCATGAAAACAGTTTTCTTTCTTAGCACCTAAATTATGTAATAAATTACCATTTCAGTTGCAAAATATTTTTTTATATAGTTTCATGTATTTTTTTCTTTCTTAATTTCTATTTTAAATTTATGGTATTACCTTTCTTTGTCGCCTGGACAGGATTTTCCTCTTGGCAACGAAGATATATGTTCTTTGTATTTATGTGTTTGCTTTTGTTCCCAATAAAGTTTTTTGTTTGTTTGTGAAGAATCTCACTAAAAGTACAAAATAATTCATCATGTAAATTTTAAATCTATGTAAAAGAAAAGAACTTTAATTGCTCATCAAATTAAAACTCAAAATCCCTGATCTATTATTGGAACATTGGCAGGTAAATAGCTAAAACGTACTTCAATCTTTACTTGCTTTGATTTGGATGCTTGAATATTTTTTTGAAAGTAATAGCATAAACACAAAGGAAATTTCAAAAAATTAAATACAAATAGTTCAATGAGGACAAATCTGTGAGAAAAATAGATAGGATATCAAATATATAGATAGGATATCGCCTTCTAGGATAGAGAGACACAACCATTCACTAAAGACCACTACCTGGCATGTTTTGATTGTTTCAATAAGTAATCCATTTTATATCAACATGAGATGGGCTTCTAAGAGTATCGTATCGGACGCTAAAATTTTTTAAAAAAAAAGCCATCAAAAAGACTTTAAAATGAAAAAATGTCCTTTAAAATTTTATAAAACATGTTTCATATTAGCTTTTTTAAAGAAAAAATTTTTTAAATCCACACTTGTTCTTATAAATTTACAATATACACAATAATTAAATATTTGCGTATAATTAATTATTGCAGAAACGAACGGAATACATCAATTAAATCATTTCGGGTTCTTCTGTTCCAATCTAAAAATGCCTTTAAAAAAAGCAAAAACTGTCGCCAAACCCCAAAAAGACTTTAAAATGAAAGAAATGTCCTTTAAAATTTTATAAAACGTTTTTGATGTTAGCTTTTTTATAATTTTTTAATCTATATTTATTCTTATAAATTTGATAAAAAATGTGGTAATAATTTAATTACAAATAAATATCCAGTAAAAATAAATAAGAATTAATAAATTTTTAGTTGCAGTTTCCAAGAACATCAGAAATACATTTTATAATCAAATTTATTATCTATTCTTTAATATTCTTAAAATTGAAATTAACCAAAAGCAATTCTCGTGAAAAATTCTGTTCAACATCAACGCTTGTTATTTAAGCCTGAGGTTACACTCGTTAGTCTAATTTATAAAGAAGAAAACTAATTCACAAGCGAATGCTTTTAAAATAAAAAACAACTTTCAACATTTTTAAAAAAATAATTATTAAAAGGGGAAAAAATCTAAAAAATGAAACAATTACCAAAATATGTGTCCTTTAAAGCAAAAAAACACCCAAAGATGCAAAGGAATACATTCATCTTCACAACCTAGCCTTTATTTGTCACTGTTATATTTGCTTTATGGAGACATATA